GCGCGAGGTCCGGAGTTTGATTCCCCATACCAAGAAAAAAAAAAAAAACTGTAATATGATGCTACCTGGTCTGCTAAATCAGCACCTTTTTTTGCATTATTGTAATCAAAGTCAAGATTAGGTTTTATGTTTCCAAGTTTTCCTTCAATCAACATATATGTATGGTTTTAGAAGTTGCTAACATACAAGCAGTTCTTTTACCAGCCCATTTTACAAACTTTACACTAGAAGGAATTTCAAAGTTTATGATTTTGCTGCATTTTTGCTTTGTCTTTGCTTGTACTGGTAAAAATATTTGATTTAGCTGTACTGTGCTGCAAAAATAAGTTTCTCTTTTGAAAAAGTTCTTGTGCTGGGGTATATTTGAATAATATCTGCCTGCGTATAACATGCAGCGTTCAAATGATAAACTGTTCATTAATTTCAAAACAACATCATAAGAATGTCCATGCATCAAAGAGTTTGCCCCTTTTCTAGCATAAACATGTAAATCATAGTTCTACCATTAGGCAAGTATAATTTATACAATTTTATCCCATATTTGTGCCATTTTCCTTTGATGTTTTAGTGAAAATACAGATGTCAGCGCCATAAAATCATACTTTCATCTATCACTACATTTGTCTAAGTTTTACTGCATTCTTAAATGCGCTAATAATTTCTTCCATGATTTTAAAAATTTATACAAGGGATCCTCAGTTCTGCATGTGGTATTGTCAGCAAAGTGAAAACAGTTCAAAATAGCCAAAAATCAATCACAATGCATGGCATTCTTTGTACTTCCATTGGCATACATATTTTTTGCAGGTCAATACAATCTAATACCTGGTAATGGTACTAGTCTCATAATTAGTAGTATACCTATAGAAATTTCATCTTGCTAATTATAACAGATTCCCACCCTTGGTATTTTCTTTTTGCACCAAAGCTGCATTATAGGGTACATCTGTTTGTTCAACTATAATTTTGAGTATATTATCAGATAAAAATATTTATACAACACAAAACGATCACTGCTATTAATATTTCTTATTATCAGTTCTACATTTCACTGTTCTATGTGCTCGTTTCCTATCATCTTTCTTTCTATTACCAGCTACCATTTTTTCTTTTGATCTTCTACCTTCATGTCTAAATCTACACTATGTGCCTGCTTTAAATAAGAGAGAGTTGGGGTCCTACAGGACTGGAGCCATCTCACCTACCTGGTACCGACACATCATTTTCTCTGCATCCCGGCTATCCTGTGCTCCATCACTGAGACTTCCCCCTACACCATAATAAGTCCCTCCTCGGCGCACCGTGGACAGAGATATGGGTGATGTGATGAATTCAAAATTCCTGAATTCTTCCCTCCCTATTTGTGCCCACTGCACATAAGTAGAGTGAATATCTATTTGTGGGAACCCAATAAACTGGTTACTGGGGATTCTTATCCCAACTTGAGCACCCTCGGTAAAGCTTCTGGCATCTGGGCTCCTTCTTCTAGCCTTTGGGCTCCCTGGCACCCAACTATAAGGGACCACCTGAGGTCCAGGAAGATGCTTGAGTGTTGGGAGTCACTTGTGAGTCCCTTTGGAGATTTTCAGTCCCACTTACAAAGAAATTTCTTTTTCCCTTCCTGCCTCTTTTTCATACCTGAAGGGAGGAGGCAGACGTTCTTCCTAGGCTGTGGGCTGATCTGTAGGTGTTCTTCACTCTGTTTCACTTTGTCCCCACCCCCCACCTTTTTTGAGACAAGGTCTCCTATGTAGCCCCATGCTGGGCTTGACCTCACGCTGCCTCAGCCTCGCAAATGCTGGGATTACTAGGCATGCACCACCACACCCGGCCTTCTCTTTCCCATTAAGGTGGCAATCAGGGAGGACCAATGGGATTGACAGCATTCCTAGTTCTGTGAAGGCAGGGTTACTGGGACATGAACTCCTGGAAACCTCTGATGGAATCTGGGACAGCTGATCATCTAAAATTATCTTGAAATGACTGAATTCTTCCCTGTTCCTTACCAGTGGGGAAGTCACCAACACATTCTAATGCTGCTTAGAATAATAAGTCTTTGTTCAGGGAGAACTTTGTTCCAAGTTTCCCAAACTTCTTCTTTTAAAAATGTACCTGTTAGTAAATCCATTAGGAAAAGCCCTTGTCCACTTCAAAATAAATGCAAAACACTATGAAAAGCCCTATCCAGTCCCCCAGTGGAATTTAATGGGTCTCTCTGCTATGTTCTTGATAATCACCTTCATGTTCAATGTATCCCTTCTTGGTTCATCCTTGTTTGTCTTCCTCTTTTGATTATAAACGCCAGGAGGGCAGGATTTAGCTCCTGCTCATTTCTGTTTCTTCTGTTTGACCAATTCCAGGGCCTGGCACACAGCCCACGCAGGCCCTGCCTGGATCCCGACTTGGCTTCCTCCCTCATTCCCAGGGCTGCAGCTTCTAGGTCCTCAGGCACATGCCACACTTGGTTCAGGTCTCTGGTAGCAGAGCCTATTGAAGCAGAATCAGGCCCATTAGAAGATAAGACCCATGAGGGGCTGATATTAAGCCCTGATTATCTGGTTCTAGGCTGGGTCCCCAGGGCTAGGAAAGTGCCTACCACCTAATAAACTCTCTGTAAGCATTAGCTGAATAAATGAGTAGATGAATGGATGCCGTGATGGACGGGTGGATGAATGGACAGACACAGATGGATGGATGGCCAGATGGCCGGATGGATGGATAAATGCAGCTGCAATTGCTAGAAACGAACATCTCATCTTATATTCAAGTTTGTTCAGCTAAGTTTATTTTTATCCCCCTTGAACTCCAGGCCTCTGCTGATAAACTTTGCTTGTCTACCTCAGCCCTTCCATTTTTAGCTTTGCCTCACTTAGATTTCCTTTCGCCGTGTTTTGTCACTTTGTAGCCTCATCTTGTACTCTAAGTGTCGCACGTCTGTTAGGTCTCTTTCCTGTGGTCACCATACTATTTGGACACCTATGTAACGCCTTAGAATGGCCCTCTCACTTACCGTTCCTCATCCCTTCCCGTGGTGACCCTGTCAATAACTGAGGGTCTTCCTCGTCACAGTCTCACTGTGATACTCAATAAATATAGATTAACTGAATTATTTATTTGATCTTTGTCTTCAATCACCAGGTAACTTGGAGAAATTTGATCAGTTTTTGAAACTGAAATCTGATGTCTTCCACCATAATGCTGTCTTACTCCAACGGCACCATAAATTTAAGACCAATCATCTATTACATGGCAGGCTCTATAGGATATTTTCTCTGAACTGCAAATTGATGTTATTCTTAAAATATGAAAGCTTTCCTATCTTACTTAGTTCATTTAATTGCTTATATTATTATATAGTTTTGGGTTTCATAAAATTATTTGAAGAAGTTAATTTGTAAAATTTGTTCTGGGATAGGAATAGATAAATCAAAATAACTGCACTTAGTGGGTGACAATCAAAAAATGGGCAACTAAAACAAATAGACACTTCTCAGCAGAAGAAGTAGAAATGGCCAATAAATACATAAAAATAATGTTCAATAGCTCTAGCCACTAGAGAAATGCAAATCAAAACAACACTGAGATTTCATATCACTCTAGAAAGAATTACTTTTATCAAGAAATCAAGGGCCGGGGATATAGCTCAGTGGCCTAAGCCCTTGCCTGGCAAACCTGAGGTCATGAGTTCGATTCCCAATACCAAAAAGAAAAAAAAAAAAAGAAATCAAATACTGTACCAACAAATGCTAGTGAGGCTGAAGGGAAAAGGAACACTTCTACATTATTGGTGTTAATGTAAACTAGTATAACCACTATGGAAATCAGTGTGGAGATTCCTCAAAAAACTACAAATAGAAATTTCATTGGACCCAGCTATTCCCTCTCTAGGAATCTTCCCAAAAGACTTAAAGACATCATATCACACACTCACCCATGTCTTTAGCAGCATAACTCATAGTAGCTAAATCCTGGAAGCACCCTATGTGTCCATCAGCAGATGAATGGTTAAAAAAAAAATGAGGTATTTTTATACAGTGAAATACCATTCTTCCATCCAGAAGGATAAATGTGAGTCAAATCATAACATTATGAGACCATAATGTTATGTGAAATAAATCAGACACACAAGCTTAAATATCACATGGTTCCTTTTATAGAGAGACCTAAAATATAAATAAAGAGCAAAATAAAAGATAGATGAGAGGAAACAGAGAGAGATCTTTTGTAAGAGAGGTAAAGAGAGGGGAAGGGGTGGAGGAGGGTGGGATAAAAAACGAATTACAATATTTGATGTACATCTACCAACTCCCCATGAGAAATGCAATCACTATGTGCTACTGAAAATTAAAAAGAAAAAAATTGGTAGTCTTTGCATTGTTAACAAAATTATAACTGACTGTTACACAAATATATTTGTAGGGGAGCAAGAAAACACGGACCTGTAAACAGGTTCATAGGCTTAGGGAGGGGTGCAGGCACGTTTGTCTAGTGAGACATGAAAGTTTACCATTAACTAAATGTTTCATTGGCATCCACGCTATGCTGTTTAACAAGCAGTGTGTGGGAAGCTGAATCTTACAAGGAACTGCTTGTCTCCTGAATTCCAGGAAGTCAGAACCTGAGGGGGAGGGCATGTGCCTATTGAGGGTTTATGAGTACAGGACGCTAATAATTGGATGGTTGGCGAATGCGCTTGCTCAAATAGTTCCAAACCCCTGCCCATGGGTAGGATGTGGTAGGGCTCCTTGCTAGGGTCCACTCCGGCTCTCTTGGCACCTTCGTACCACTGTCAGCAGACATCACTGGGAGTTGTATGCCTCAGCTAAGCAGCAGGGTTCAGAGGTCTGGCTGCTGCTTCTCCTGAGCCTCTGAGATCAGAACATTTTTGCCTGCCTGCAGCAGAGAAATGTTTACAACTCCCCACTTACGGGGTTCTTTTTCCATAAGCTGAGTATTTCTGAGGAGCAGCTGTGGTAATCAAGCTGCACGTTTTCTTCTAGGTAAGTTGCAATGAATTGGCTCCTGGAGGAGTAGCAGGAGCGCACTAGCCCACACCCAGCAGGAATGGCCCTGCCTTCCAGACACTGCCTCCTTCTGATCGGCGCACTGAGCATCTTCATACTTGACTGCTTCACCAAAGGTCAGAAGAACAGCACGCTAATTTTCACAAAGCAGAACACCATTCGGAACTGCAGCTGCTCTGCAGACATCCGGGACTGTGACTACAGTTTGGCCAACCTGATGTGCAGCTGTAAAACCGTCCTGCCTTTTGCAGTAGAGCGAAGCAGCTACAGTGGCCATCTGACCATCTGGTTCACGGACTCATCAGTGCTGGGCCGCCTGTTGAACTTCACTCTGGTCCAGGACCTGAAGCTTTCTCTGTGCAGCTCCAACACCCTTCCCACCAAGTACCTGGCTATTTGTGGGCTGAAGAGGCTTCGCATCAGCACAGAGGCCAAGTATCCCTTCCCGGAGCAGAGCTTACTCATCCATACCACTGGGGACGCCGACTCCCGAGCGCTGCCCACATCATTACACAAAGGCTGGCAAACGTGTATGTATATTTCATTCTTAGATGTGGCTCTTTTCAACAGGGACTCATCCTTAAAATCATACAGTATTGAAAACATTGCCAGCATTGCCCATGAATTTCCTGACTTTTCTTACTTTAAAGCCTTCCCAATGCCAAGCAACAAAAGCTATGTTGTCACTGTCATTTACTAATGTTGTAACTGTGTCCAACAGCCAGGAGACTTGGTAACAGACGCGTCATTTAAACAAGGAATCTGGGAACAGGGCCATCAGACAGGTATCCCCACTCACGGCTCAGCCGTGGCCCCCAGCTCCCACTGGCAGCTGAGCCACGCCTACAAATATCCAGCTTTCTCTGCTCTACTCTACACTCAATCTTGGGAGCTATTTTGAAAAGGAAAGTAAAAAGAAATCTGAAACAAATGATTCAGTCTGTAGCCAAGTCTTACAGATCAGCTAGAGGCTAGATCTTTGCAACGGGGAGCCTGGGAAGAGATGTCAGACCAGAAGTACAAAAAGTTGGAGTCTGTAGGGTATCTTCTTTCAGAATACAGGTGTTCCCACTTCTCTGTGGGTGATCTATTACAAGGACCCCTGGTGGATGCCTGAAATAGCAGACAGTACCAAACTCTACACAGACATGTTTTTCCTACACGTACCTATGATAAAGTTTAATTTGTAAGTTAGGTTACAGACTAATGACAATCACCAATGATAGAACAATTATAGTAATATTTGTAATAAAATTATGCAAATGTGCTTTCTCTCCGTCTCAAAATATCTCTTTGTACTGTAGTCACCCTTCTTGGAATCATCTGTAATGATACTTATTGGAAGCATTTTATGGTGGGACAGCATGAAATTTAAAACTTATAAATTGTCTTTTTCTGGAATTTTTCATTTAATATTTTCAGACTGTGGTTGACCACTGGTAATTAGAACCTTGCGGGGAAAACTGCTGGCACAGAGGGAAATACTGTACTGATGTAATTTTTTCTGCTTCATTTTGTGACATTGCCTGGAATTCCCCCAAGTCAGGAATGGTAGATTTCAGGGGGTTGGGGAATTCCACAAAATGACTAGGTTCTCTTAAACCGCTGTCTTCCAAATATCTTGCTAGGAGTGAATGCACTGAGAAACAAGAGTTTTGAGATTTTGTTTGTGGAGGGTAGGAAGAATTAGAACAGGCATGGATTGGGAGGGAAATTAGTACAAGGCACAAGGGTTCTGAAGAGAAGGGTGTAGAAGTGGTAATCAAATGCTATGAAAACAACTGCATATACTGTGTCTCAAAATTTTGTTTGGCCTGCTGCCTAGCCCCAGGGAACATTTTTTTTTAGCCTTTCTTTTTCATTTCCTCCTCCTTGTTTGCATCTCCTACCTTTACTGTCACTATTCTACTTCTTGTATTTCTCTTCTCATTTCCCTGTTCCTTCTGTTTTTTTTCTTCTTGCTCCAGGAATTAGAATTTAGATTAAGATCAGTAGAACTGTTAAACCACATTAAGGGCTAGCTCGGGAATCTAATAATCACTGATCACATTCTCATGATAAAGGCTCAGGTGCTTAAATTACTAGTAAATAATTAATTTTTTGTAGTGCTGAGGATTGAACCTCATGCATAGTAGGCAGGGATTCTACCACAGAGGTACATCCCCAGAGTTTGGTAGACTTTTTTTTAGAAGAGATAATTAATAAAGGAATTTCTGATACTCAGTTCATTTGGAAGTTTAACACTGAAAAGTTAGGATACTTAATATGGCATGGCTAACACAAAATGGCATTATGTGTGTTATAAAAGGAACCAAAGCAACATAGTTTTTAAAAAATTGAATTGGTTCACCATTGTATACAGGAAAGTTCCCCTCACAGAGACCCAACTTTCCACTAGTAGAATGACAGTTGTGGTACAAATGCCTAACTCAGGATGCATTACTGCATTCATGATACCATAATGATGAAAAGAAGTTTTACTGTGAAATAACAGGATGGCCTAGGTTGGTCACTTTCATTATACATCACATTCATCACATTTTTTCCTCTTAACCTTAACAAAGGGTAATTGAAATAACCTAGAATTTATACATTTGCTTAATTGGTGGGGGATTTGGCCATTCAGGCTAATTAGCATGAATCCATAATGTCAGTGTTTAAACTAGGCCAAAACAAAGACTACTATATGAATATTAATAGAAAAGTATAATGACCTCATTACTGGTATTGTACTTTAGAGGTAACAGTAAAGTTACAGTAAAAGACAAAGAAGGAGGGAAAGGGAGGAGAAAAAAGCAAGAGTGATGTAAGTGAAAAGAATAAACACAATTTACTATCTGAATTTCAAAAGTTTTTATCAGTAATGTATAAAATTAAATGATGTTAGTTTCCCGTCTGGTTGTTCAACAATAGTTTTAAAGTCTTTTGCAAACGTTTTGTGTGATTCTTGTGATGAATCATTGTGAGCCAATGGGATCTAAACCAATAGAAAGTAAAGCTGATTTAGTTATATATCTAGACTTGGGTTTCGACATCTGGACTAAACATGTGTTTTGGGTTGTACTGTTATCAGATAAATAAGAGATAGAAAATCTAGCACACAGACGTGAGGATAAATGGCATTTGACACTCAGCAGCAGGGTAGGGAGACGGCAGGGAGTGATGGGGTGGTGGTAAACCAGGGTGTCCCTAAAGGGTGCCCAGAGGGTCCTCAGTGGGTCACCTCCAGCTGAGTGCTGATGTGGGACAAGAGCATAGGGCCACATTTGATGCTTCAAGAGAATTAGGAATTCCTGCTTTTTATGTGAAACTTTGCAGATATTGGCATGCCCTTGTCTGTTTGTTTTCTTTTTTTTTTTTTTTTTTTTTTTTTGTTTTTCTCTGGTACCGGTTTGTTTTCAATAACATCCTGTAGGTCAATAAATTTTGTCACTGGTCCCATCTGGCCTGGCGGTAGCAGTTTGTCACCTCTGGTCAGTGATATGCTGGTGTGCTGGTTAGGCTTAATTGTCAACCTAACGGTATGGAGATACACCCAGTAGATTAGTGAGGCACACTTCCTGTGTGTTTGGGCAGTGCACAGTACTGCAGCTGGTCCCCGGCACCTTCGTCTCTGATTCTGTTCCCTTGCTCTGCTTCCTGGCCGCTGATGAACTAAGTATTTTTGCTCCACACACCCTTCCATCATACGATCCTGCCTTAAAGCCAAATGATTATGGACTATATTCTCTGACACGTTGAGCCAAATAAATCTCTCCTCCTTTAAGCTGTCTGTGTTGGGTAATTTTCCAGGCATGGGTAAGTTAATATTGCTGGTAAAAGTTTAACCACCACCTCTCTAAAAAGAGTAAATAAATTTTTCTGATATAAAGTATGTATAGTACACAATTTATAAATGATAATAAAATATGCATTATTTATTACAAATTAGATATATATAATTAATTCTCAAAGGACATTTTGAATGATTTTTCCTTGCATCCAAAGCCAACCGAAGGTCGCACTTGACTGATATTTTCATTTATTTTAGGAGTAAGAGGAAAGCAAAAAGATAGGTAGGGGGACATCATTTGTTAAGTTGGTGATATGAGCAACTTCTTTGCTAGATCAAATGCTAGTCTTCCAGTATTGGATGGATGTTTGTTTCCTTCATTTTGGGAACCACTTATGATGCAAGAGCTATAGAAACAATACCTTTTGTGTTGTCCTGAGGACTGAACCCAGGGAACTGTATCACTGAGCTGTATTGCCAGATCTTTTTATTATATATTTTTAAATTTTGAAACGGACTTGCTAAATTGCCCCTGCTGGTAGAATCCACCTACCTCAGCTTCCTGAGTGCTGAGATTATAGGTATGTGCCACTACACCCAGTCGGAATAATACATTTGTAATTAATTGCATTTCTCCATCACACTCAACAAAATAATACATCAGAGAGTGATATGTAGTGTCCCAATTTCAGTGGTATAAATATTGCCACAATAACTGATTTCAAGCCACTAAGAGAACACCGAATTGAGAAAAGGAGGACATCATTAGACAGCAAGTCCATGGTACTGAGTAGGCACAAGTAACCTGAAGAGCATGAATAAAAGTACAGTGCAGCAAAATAATGGAGAAGCCACGAGTTCTGAACATTAACTTTGTTTTTGTTATGATTTATGTAATTGTAAATCTATAGAGTTTGATTCTTAATAATGACCACAGTTAATCAGCTTGCAAAATTTCTGAAAATTTAACAGTGAGATCTTAGGAGGTGGGAAAAATCCATGCCAGCACTCACTGACTGGGAGAAAGCAATGCTAAAGGAACTTCTGAAGACCATGAGCCGTGTGGGTGCAGGGCCACTTGCAGTATAGAGAGGTCCATTTCCTCCACAGCCTGTGCCCGAGGTGGAAACATCAGGGCTCTCTTCTTACTTTAGTGAGCAGCCCATCCTGACATGAAGACTTGTGATCGTCCCTAAGATGGGAGATGGTGAAGTTGAGGAGCTTAGAGCCTTATGAGAAAAATGATTTAGTGCTTAAAACTTGAGTGAACCTAAGAAAATCCCCCAGAGGGAGGAAGGAGTAAAAGAATGAAGAAAAGATATGAAGAACATTTTACACACATTAAGTTGGAAAATATGGGAATCAGACAATCACTTTCCATTTCCCATCCTTTCTTACTAATGATTTTAGCACCTCCCTTTGTCCAGAATTTACAGGAGGCTGTTTATACATCTGATTTAATTTCTTACAGAAAATATGATGTGATGAGGTATTTTTGTATAATGCATTTAGATTTGAACAGTCTCTAGTCACAACTCAGTGGTGCATGAGGTTTTGCTCAGTTGGACTCCAGAAAAGCAATGAGAGGCTCTAAGGAGGAGAGAACCAATCATAAAGCCCCACTGACTTAAATGGTACAGCACAAACACATGGCAGTTTGTAAAACTGTATTTAAACATTCACTTATAATAAGTACTTTTTGTTTTTTTGGTTTTTTTTGGTTTTTCTCCGGTACCGGGAACCGAACTCACAACCTTGCGCTTGCCAGGCAGGTGCTTTGCCGCTGAGCTAAATCCCCAGCCCCAATAAGTACTTTTTGTATACATGTTGTACTTCAATAGTTTGTAAAAGACGACAATGAATAGCATAACTGATACTTAAGTAATTATCAGAATTGATAAGTATGGACACTTATCACACTTAATTGCAAAGAAACTGTGAGCTTCGTAGTAGGTTTGCTGTTAGTAGTAGTATTGGCACCATCCCTGAAACTTTTGTTTGCATTATATGACTGTGTAAAAGTCAACACAGTGAAGTTTTTGTGGGGAGCTAGGGCTCTAACTGTGGAAAATATCAACTCAGGGAGAAAGTATTAGGTTGGAGCTAAAGGTGTTAGTACAAACTCCTGAATTTTTATCAGTGCATGTTGATTATACAGAATAATGGGTTTCATTGTGGCATTTTCATAATGCATATTACACACTTTGATCAAACCCACCTCCCATTTGCCCCCTTCATCTGCTTTCTCTTCTCCATTAACAAAATTGTGATTTTTAAGACATCTGTTTCTTAGCTTTAACCCTGGAGAGGGCCTAGAAGAAATGACACTCAGTAACAAAGAGAATATCCGATACCTGAATTTTGTACTTCTCTATTAAAAATGAACAAACACACAAAAATAGGGTCTTGAAGAAAGGGCTGATCCCAGGTGCTGGAGCAGCAAAAACATAAGGTGAGCCCGGAATGTCTTACAGTGATCGAAAGTAAGAAATCCC